TGCTTCTCCCTCTGACCCTCCCCCCTCTCATGTACTCTCTCTCTCTCTCTCTCATTCTCGTTCTCTCAAATAAATAAATAAATCTTTAAAAAAAAAATTCTGTCAACTCTCAAATAGGAATCTCCAACAGCTTATCATCATTTAAAATCAGGTTAAATCTTCTATTTTAGAGGGCTGTGGGTTGCTGGGTTTTTTTTTTTAAACTTACCTACAGATCTTTTTTTTTTAAGATTTTATTTTATTTATTTGACAGAGAGAACACAAGAGAGGGAACACAAGCAGGGTGAGTGGGAGAGGGAGAAGCAGGCTTCCCGCCAAGCAGGGAGCCCGATGCGGGACTCGATCCCAGGACTCCGGGATCATGACCTGAGTCGAAGGCAGACGTTTAATGACCGAGCCACCCAGGCGCCCCTAAACTTACCTACAGGTCTTTGCAGGAGGAGTTTTCTGTATGAAAATAAAAAAGACTTATGGTTAGTCTTTATAAGTCCTTTTTCTCCCCTTAAAAGAAAATATTTAGATCAAGAGGCAAATAAAGGTTGAATAAGCTTATTGGGGGCTCAAGAGCTGGCTGCACCTCCATACTTCTGGAGGCCTTTTCTGCTTGGACCACACGAAGGATGACTCAGAGGCCCAGAGCTGAGTCACTTGGCAAAGCACTCTGGGTGTGCAGTTTTACTACCCTCACCCCTGGAACTTGGTTTACCCACAAAACCCCAAAATGATGCCAGGGCCAAGCCTTCAAATATCTTACACGCCAAGAAAGGGAGAGAGAGAAGAATTGATGAGACCTGTGGAAGAAGAGAAATCAAGCTCTCATTCAACTTCTATTCCAGTCTGCTTCCTTATGTTTGCCTTTCACTGATCCAGCTCTGACTCTGAGCAGGGCTGTAAGTTCTCTGGGATGATGTATAAATGAAGAAACAGGAAAAAGGAGAAGGGACAGTTGACTCCACCCCTAGAGAGAGAGAAAGGGCAGACTGGGGAAATCTAAACTTGGCTGAAATCTAAACTCCCTGAAATGAAGAAATTCTAATGCAGGTCCTACCTTTATCCTCTCCTTTTTTATTAGTCATTTTTTTTATTTTAAAGATTTTATTTATTTAGAGAGTGAGAGCAGGAGCTGCAGGGGGGGGGGTGGCAGAGAGGGAGAGAGAGAATCTCAAGCCAACTCTGTGCCTAGCCCAGAGGGGACTCCACCTCACAATTCTGAGATCATGACCTGAGCCAAAACCAAGAGTTGGATGCTCAGTCAACTGAGCCGCCCAGGCGGCCCATTGTTTTTATTGGTCATTTTAAGGGAGTTAGTCCTTTGCACTCAGGTATAAAGTTCTAGCAGGAAGAAGCACAGAAGTTTCTATATTTGATAGAGGAAATAACAGATTAATTCTGGACATTTCAAAGTTGGGGACAAACTACAGCTTTTTGACTCTAGTTCTTGAAAGTGAAGTATGAATATATTGTTTAAAAATGAAGCACTCAAAAGGTACAAACTTCCAGTTATAAAAGTAAGTCTTGGGGATGTCATGTTCAGCATAGCATGGTGACTAGAGTTACTAATACCATACTGTAGATTTAAAAGTTGCTAAGAGAGTAGATCTTGAAAGTACTCATCACAAGAAAAAAATCTGTATAACTACATATGGTGATGGATGCTAGCTAGACTTATGGTGATCATTTGCAAGATATATAAATATCAAGCCATTATGTTGGACACCTGAAATGAATATGTTATATGTCAATCATATCTCAATTTTTTTAAAAATGTGAAGACTGACAAGGTAACATGGTTTGTTATGAAGGCTATCTTCAATTTTCATGCATTACTAAATAATCCAGTTTGCATTGTTTTAATAAATAGATCCTGTTTGCGGGCAAAGTAGTGGTTTTCTAGAGCCTTTCCTCTCATCTCCGTGGAACCTGCCTCAGCTGGCCACACCAACCTTGACTCCACTGCCACCTGGTGGGGACACATCCCTTCAGTACAGAAAGGATGACCCAAAAAGGTGACCTGGCTCAGGGCACCTGGAGAAGTGCCCCCATCATGGGAAAATGTGTCACTGAAAGATTCTGGGCTCAGGGTAATCAACATCTCAACAGTTTGGCGGAAAAATAGGAACAGACAGGACAGAGATAAAGAGTATGTCCCAGCTGTTCCATGAGTAGTAACAGGTGCATCCAGCAACTGTCTGGGGGCTCCCGTCACAGGGCAGCAAATCCACACAGTGCTCGAAACAGTTCGCCCACTCCACAGAGGAGAGGCTGCTTTTAATTTTAAATGCCTCTGGCTAGAGGAGTCAGAACCTGAGATATGGGGATTAGAACAAGCAATAAATGCATTAGTGAGCTCTGCTTCCCAGGGCTCCAAAAACAACTCAGGAGTTAATGTCAGACGTTCACCTTTTGAGGCTCCTCAGTCCGAAAGTCACCCAGGCATAAGTCCTAGTGATATCTCAGTGTTCTGAGTGGGTCAGGATAACTTCTCAAAAGTCATATCTCCAAAAATAACAATAAATAGTTAACATTACAGGGGGTCAGCTAACTTACTCGGAGGACCACTTACTCTGGGCCGGTGTTGTTCTAACCCCTCTACATGTATTGACTTATTTCATTATGGGTTAATTAAGTCTCAGGTTATACGCTACAGATGTGGAAACCAAGGCACGGAGAAATGAGCTAAGTTGCCCCGGCTCCCAGGGTCTGGGCTCAGGCGATCTAGCTCTGGAGCCGGACCTTTTATGGTGCTATTCTGCTGCAACCAGCCCGCCAGCCCTGCAGGACACCCCACCAGCCCTGCAGGACACCTCGCCAGCCCTGCAGGACACCCCGCCAGCCCTTTCAGATGACTACCTTCATCTGCTGCTTCCTCTGCCTGCCCGGAGCGCCCTTTCTCCCTGCACTTCGAAAATTCCTATTATCCGCAGGACTGGGTTCAAATCTTGCCCTTGGCCCTTCCAAGCAGACTTACTGGTGGTCACCCCCGGTCCACCCACACCCCTGTTCCAGCCCATATAACATTCTGTGGGCATCCCGGAGTTTATGTGTGGAGCTCAGCTCTGTGAGGGTGATCAGTGTGTCCAGTTTAGCTCCATAGCTGCAGGCCTAGCCAGATGTTTGATACACAGTGTAGACTTAAGAAATGCTAAACAAACGAACAAAAGAATGAAGAGCAGCATTCTAATGTTCAACTGTGACAAGTCTCTCTGCAAGGTAGCGAGACTAATTCCACAAGCCACACGTTACCTTAGAGTCAAATTACGTGTGCGTGTGTTTGCGCATGCACACACAAAGTACCGTGGAAGGTGATGATGAGCCACAGCTCCAGATAGAGTTTATCCTTATAACCTGGGAACAAGGTCACGAGGAGGTCAACCTTCCTCTCCAGAGTGGAGTCTGGTGAAACCGACACATACTGGACAAAAGAGGTCTCACTGTGAGTCACAGGTAAAGTCTAAGAGGTGTCATATAGCTGTGCTCCTGGTAATATCTGGTCACTCTGTCATGGCTCCAGGCGAAATGATCAGGAAAGTGAATCATGCAGGAACAGATCACAGCCAATCTTTAATCTTTATCACAGAGAAGATTTTAATGCCAACCTACTAGATACCACCTATAAGTCTAGAAACAGGGATTGGCCAACACATCATATTCCATGTGGAGTGGAATGAGGACATGAATAGAGATTCCTGACAAACTGATCAATGGGAAATAGGATATATTATATTATCTGTGTAAGAATGTCTATATATGTGCACTGAAAAAAAGTCTGACAGAATAGAGTAATATCCTGTGCGAAGTAGGATCACAGTTGATTTCTGGGACTTTCTTCCTCTGCATATTCTACAACTTACTATTGTTTATTACACTCATAAAGGAAAGAAGGTTTTTTAAAATGACTAAGTATGTAATTCATGCCACTGTTTCCTAATTTGCCCTGACAAGAAAGGATATTGTTTACAAAGGAAATAATCAATGAAACTAAAAGACAACCTACTGACTGGGAGAAGATATTTACAAATGATGTATCTGATAAAAGGTTAGCATCCAAAATATATAAACTCAACAATATTATACAACTCAACACCCAAAAAAACAAATAATCTGATTAAGAATGGGCAGAAGTCAAGGACAGACATTTCTCAAAGAAGACATATAGATGGCCATACAGACACATGAAAGATGCTCAACATCACTCATCATCAGGGAAATGCAAATCAAAACCACAATAAGATATCACCTCACACTTGTCAGAAAGGCTAAAATCAACAACACAAGAAACAAGTGCTGGCGAGGATGTGGAGAAAAAGGAGCCCTCGTGCTTCTCTGGTAGGAATGCAGACTGGTGCAGCCGCTGTGGAAAACGGTATGGAGGTTCCTCAAAAAAATTAAAAATAGAATTACTCTATGATCCAGTAATTCTACTACTGAGTATTTACCCAAAGAATATGAAAACACCAACTCGAAAAGATACATGCACCCCCATGCTTATTGCAGCATTATTTACAATAGCCAAATTATGAAAGCAGCCCAAATACCCATCGATAGATGAACAGATAAAGAAGTGGTATATATACATACAATGGACTAGTACTCAGCCAAAGAAAAGAATGAAATCTTGCCGTTTGTGACAACATGGATGGAGCTAGAGAGTGTAATGCTAAATGAAATAAGTCAGTCAGAGAAAGACAAATACCATATGTATAATTTAAGAAACAAAAAAACAAACATAGAAAAAAGATAAAGCAAAAAACACTCTTAACTATAGAGAACAAACTGAGGGGAGGTGGTGAGGGGATGGGGGAAATAGGTGATGGGAATTAAGAGTACACTTATCATGACGAGCAGTGAGTAATGTATAGAATTGCTGAATCACTATATAGTACACCTGAAACTAATATAACACTGTATGTTAACTGTACTGGAATTAAAATTTTAAAAAAGAAATGATGTTGTTTAGTGTTAGGGACGAAATGGAGATGAAGAATCAAAATATTTTGGTGTTTATCCAATTTCTACTAAGGACAGGTCCTCAGCCTGGAAGTCTGGCCCCTGGTCTCTGCCTGATGGAAATAGCCCCGAAGACACTCTAACCTGTTTCCTATACTCAACCTCACCTATGTGATCCGACTGGTCCATCAGGAAGCAATACCCTGTAGAGATGCCTGGATCTCTTCCCCAGACCAGGTAAATCTTCATTTTCAATTCACAACAAAAGCATCCACTGTGTAGATAAGAAGCATGAGTCAATCTCCCAGAAGCTGAGCAGCTCTTGGGGAGTGGCTGAACTTCAGTGACTAGTTAGTGAATATTCACCTTGGCAGTGGTTCTGGGACTGGATTTTGGGGCTACGAAGACAACCACGTGGTCCCTGCCAAGAGGGGGCTCAGAGGAAGCAGACAGAGACCCAGGGAAACTCCTACCGCATTTCATTGAACCTCTGATGCCACCGAGTATAAAATCCCCCATTCTTTATATATTCCTAAGAAAGGAAGTGTTTGACCAGGGCACACCATTGATTATAGAAGCATCCTGACTGCAGACAGTGAATTTTTTTTTTTTTTTAAAGATTTTATTTATTTATTTGAGAGAGAGAGAATGAGAGGGAGGAGGGTCAGAGGGAGAAGCAGACTCCCAGCCGAGCAGGGAGCCCGATGCGGGACTCGATCCCGGGACTCCAGGACCATGACCTGAGCCGAAGGCAGTCGCTTAACCAACTGAGCCACCCAGGCGCCCTGAATATTTTTTTTTAACGTGAGAAAAAGCAGCACGTGTTAGAATTGATGAAATACGGAAATCGCAAGGTGGTGTGCTAAGTGATGTCAGGGAGCGGTCTCATGCTCCTTGTGGTGTCAGAGGTGTCAGGTTCCAACTGCACGCAGACCAGCCTAAAATACCAAGGGCCTCCCTCGTGAGACCTCGAGAGTCGCCACCATGCCCTCTCTCACCTCCCGCAGTCCTGTCTCCTCCACAGACAGCTGCATGAACTGTCAACACTGTAAATCTGATCAGTCCGTCTGGGCTTTCACACCCAACCCTGGCCTCCCACTGCACTCAGCATACACGCCAAACGCCCAGGTCAGCCTCAAAGGCTCGTCCTAAGTCTCCAGCCTCATCCTAAGCCATCCTCTCTTTCTTGTCAAGCACCCAGCCACACTGGCCCAAAGTGACTCCTGCCAAGTCCCTTTCTACATCTGGTTCTTTGCATCTGCTGCTTCCCCTTCCTGGCCCCACCTGGTGAACTCCTGCTCAGCCTTTGTCTGTGGTTAAATGTCACCTCCCCATAGTGGCTTCTCTGTCCGTACAGTCCAGCAGGTGGGTGTCATGATTTGCTCAGCTGATGCTCCGTAGGAGTAGCCCAGAGCAGCGGGACCATGCCCCTTCCTCCCTACTGTAGACCCAGAGCCTGGCATGGTGGGCGGGTACACATGTACGTAAAAGTATTCAGAATGAATGAGTGGATGCTTGAAGAGGTTCTCTGACAGATCAGAGAAAAGAACACATCACAACATGGTCTAGGAAAAAAGAGAAGTTTGGTTGTGGCTGGATTTTCTAAAACCCGAGAGGGGTATGGCACCTTTGCATGCCTCCATGCAGGTCATGGGCAGCCCCCATGTCCGTGGGCGGACATGATCAGATCTGTTTCAGAAGGTCACTTGGGTGCAGTGTGGAGGAAGGGGAGCGTCGGGAGAGGCAGGGAAACCAGCCAGGCACACGGCACATCGGGCAGGCGAAGGCAGGTGATGGCGCGCACAGAACACGATAACCATCTAAGCCAGGACTGCTCACCCCAGGCCCTACTTGGCTGCCCAAGGGTTCAGGGGAGTAAGATCTCATTTGGCCCCTAACCAGGTAGCCCTGAAAAAAGAATGAGGACCTGAACCAAGGTGGCCGCAGAGTGAGAACAGAGAGGAGGGGACAGATTCAGAAATAGGGTGTGGGGGGGGAAGGAAGACCAGAGCAGGACTCTAAGGGGAACCCTATGTTTCTGACTTGGGTGGTGATGACCAGGATCAGGATCACCATGTAAGAAGCAGGTTGTGAAAACAGAGCAGTCCCAGTTTGATCCCTTTGCATTTCATATGCCCGGGAGACAGCTTCGGGGAGAGCCAGAGGCAGCAACCACAGGGGTCTGAGCTCAAGGGAGAGGTCTGGGCTGGACATGGGGCTCAGGAGTTCCCGGGGCACTGAGGAGGATGCTGCCATGGGCATGGATGAGACTGTCCAGAAAGTGTGTGCGTGGGAACAAAGGGCACCTGACACAGAGCCCTGGGAGACCCTGTAGGGCAGATGGAGGAAGGAGGAGGAGCCAGAGACTGGGGAAGAGAATCAGCAGGTCACGGGGGCCGAAAGACTCAAGGGAAGGCGGCGGCGAACCTGGTGATGAATGGTGTAAAAGGCCAAGAGAGTCGCATCAATGCAGGCCCCAGTGGCTTCAGCCAGGGCAAGTTCAGGGTAATGGTGGGGGCAGGAGCAGGCTGCAGGCGAGAGGGCCACAAGACCGAGAACAGCTCTGAAGCCAACCCTCCCTCAGGTGCTGTGCTGGGGGAGGGCAAGGATGCGGTGGGGCGGGGGTGGAGGGGTGCACAGGCGAGGGAGCCTGCTGGCATGGTTTCAGAAACAGCTTTCCAGAGCTGGGGTAGGGTGAGCGGGTCTCCCAGGGCCTGCTCCATCCTTGGGGGCCTGAGAACATGGAGAGTGTCTGTGGGCTGAGGGAAGAAAGGCAGCAGAGAGGGAGAGAGGTTCGCTCTCCGGGACAGAAGAGGCAGTCGGTCCATGGGATGACAGGGTGCATGGGTGTGCGGAGGGGCCTTGGCCATGGGAAGGACACCTCTCTCTCCTGCATGCCTGTAAGGAGTGAGCTGCCTGAATGACCAACTAGCCTCTCTAGTTGAAAAGTTCCAGATTTCGAAACCATTTCGAAAGGGCAGATTTCATTAGAAAGGAAGAACTCCCAAGAGGGGAACCAAATTAAAACCACCACTAATAGCGTTAATAAACACAGCAAACATGTACAGAGCACCTACTCTGCGCCAGAAACCGCTGGACGCACTTCACATGGGTGCCTCGCTCTGTCCTCCCAACAACCGTAGGAGCTGGGTGTCATCACTATCCCCCTCTCCCACGGGGAGGCACAGAAGGTGAAGACACTTGCCCCAACTGGTGTGACGCAGAGCTGGGCTTGGGAAGCAAGGGGGACTCGCCCAGGGTGGGCTGATGCTCCCAGCACCCTATGCGAGGCTCTGCCATAGGTTTCCCAGCGGCCCTGGGATGAGCTGCGGGCGGGAAGGCTGCCCCCCACCACCCCTCCTCGGCCCACAGTAAACTCCTCCTTGTATCCCAAGGTGCTCGCTCTGCCCTGAGCTGCAGCTGAGCGCCGTTCAGATCCACGAGCATTCCCATGTACGTCTGATGAACCGAAGGGATGTCGAAAACATGATCCTTGAAATGAGGGACGACTGCCAGGCAGTCGTGACCACTGTCAGGAAACAGATGGCAAGACAAGGTAGACACTAATTTGGGCCATAAGAAAAGGTGCATCTTTGAAATTTAAAGCAAGGGAAGCGAAACTAGCATTTTGCATTACCATTTACCTCTTTCCGAAAACACTTCTGGTGCCCACAGAGGATAACTTCAGCTACATTATGCAAAGTGAGAAACACAGGAATGGCCTGAAAGAAAACAGAATGTAATAAGCATGAAAATGTTTTCTTTGATCCCATAATTACATAATACTTGATTTCTGCTTAAAAATAACGATCCGTGGGAACTTTTGGCACCCACATTTACAAGCCTCTCCAGCAAAAACTCTTCCGCATGGATTAGCGCTCTCTGTTGTAGTATTATACTTGGCAAGGTGGACGTAGGGGCTCAACACATATTTATTAAGCACCTACTGCGTGTCAGGCACCGCACCAGATGCAGGAAACACATCCCGTGCCCAGGGTGGATATGTGATAGGGAGACTGTCCCTATCGAGGTAAGAGCTCTCGTGGGATACGCAAAAAGGCGCACCTACCCCACGTGGGCAGAGGAAGCGAAGTCCAGAGGCTAAATGAGAACGGAATGACAAACTGGAGTGAGCCAAACCAGAGGAGCAGAGGGTGCTGCAGTCCAGGTGAGAGTGAACCCGCTCCTCTGGGAACGGGGGTGGGGATGGGGGTGGGGTTGAGTAGCGGACCGTGAAGGGAGAAGCTGGGGAGAGAAACGCTGGGAGGTCATCAGGCCATATCAGAGTCAGGACAGTGCCAAGAGCCAAGGAGCCGTTGAAGAGTTTCAAGGCAGTGACATGATTTGATCTGCATGTTTAAAGGAACTTGGGTTCCCAGCAGAGGACAGAAGGCAGAGACGGTTGGGAAAGTCTGGGGTGTGGCAGACTGAAAAATGGGCCCCCGCAAGACAGTCACACTCTAATCCCCAGGACCTGTGAATGTCACCCGACATGGCAAAAAGGGGTCTTTGCAATTGTGATTAAGTGCAGAACTTGAGGTGGGGAGTTTGCCCTGGGTTATCTGGGTAGGCCCTAAATGCAAACACATGAATTTGTAAGAGATTTGACACATGCAGAGGGGGAGGTGACGTGACCACAGAGCCAGGGACTGCAGTGATGCAGCCGCAAACCAAGAAATGTTAGCAGCCGCCAGAAGCTGCAGGAGCCAAGGACTTGGATTCTCCCCCCAGAGCCTTCGGAGTGCACTGCAGCCCTGCTCCCACACCTTGATTTGGGCACAATAACACGATTTTGGACTTCTGGTCTCCACAACTGAAGAGAATAAGTTTCTGCTGCTTTAAGCCACCTGATGTGTGGTCATTTGGTACCAGGGGCCATGGGAAGCTAATACAAGGAATGGCAAGACTGCAGCCTGAACTTGGTAGTGGCAATGAAAATGGAGAGTGTCCACAGTAAGGAAATATTTAGGAGACTGAACTGAGGTAAATATTTGAATAACCAGGATCAACTTTGGAACAAAACAAAACAAAACAAAAAAGGGGAGGGGAAAAAGATATTTAAAAACCCCTAATACTCCAGAGGGTTATTAAGGTACATTTACGATCACTAGGCTATTCGCTAAGAATGGCTGTCTCTCCTAATTTGGTGGCTAATCTTGACCCAATGAGCAGGAAGGATTAAAGGGTATGGGATTTTGTTATGGTCTCTGTTGTTGATGATGATGGCAATATTTCCTGAAAGACAGAAAAAGACCGAGCATAGGTGAAACCGAGCAGAGGCAAACCTTAGTTTGCTCCTCTGTATGGGGATAACAATACCTACGACCCAGAGCACCTGGGAGGAATGACAGACGTAGGTAAAGGACCTAGATGAGTGGTTCGGGAGCTCTACATGAAAGATGGCCAGTTTTAACATGTAGCCCGTCCGCAGCAGCCTTGACAGAGGACCCTGAGCAGGGAAATTGCTCCAGTTTGGAGGACCCACTTAAGATGATGCCACTCGCCTACTTCCAGATGGATCTATTCTTTATCTTTTTGGAGCATATATTTTTACCTTGTTTTTAAAACTCTTATAACTTTGTAGCTCTGCCCTATTTTAGTATTTTGTTCTAACTTGCGCTGTTTTATTTCTTTTGGAGTTCTTGCATTCTATTTTCCTGCCTTTGTAACCATTTTCTACTCTTAATTTATCTTTCATTAAAAGTGCAACTCAAACTGTTTTTTTCCTTTTAAAATTATACTTTATAAAAATAAATAAATAATAAACCATACTTTAACAATTAAACAATCCAATTAAAAATGGGCAGAAGACATGAACAGACATTTCTCTAAAGAAGACCTACAGATGGCCAACAGACACATGAAAGACACTCGACATCATTCATCATCAGGGAAATGCAAATCAAAACTACAATGAGATACCACCTCACACCTGTCAGAATGGCTAAACTCAAGAAGACAAGAAACAACAGGTGTTGGCGAGGATGTGGAGAAAAAGGAAACATCGTGCACTGTTGTTGGGAATGCAAACTGGTGCAGCCACTCTGGAAAACAGTATGGAGGTGCCTCATAAAGTTAAAAATAGAATTACTCTATGATCCAGCCATCACACTACTGGGTATTTACCCAAAAAATACAAAAACACTAATTCAAAGAGACACATGCACCCCAATGTTTATAGCAGCATTATTTACAATAGCTAAATTATGGAAGCAGCCTAAGTGCCCATCGATAGATGACTAGATAAAGAAGAGGTGGTGTGTATATATACACAATGGATATTATTCAGCCATCAAAAAGAATGAAATCTTGTCATTTGCAACAACAAGGATGGAGCTAGAGAGTATAATGCCAAGGGAGATAAGTCAGTCAGAGAGACAAATACCATATGATTTCACTCACATGTGGAATTTAAGAAACAAAACAAACAAAGGGGGAAAAAAGAGAGAGACAAACCTAGAAACAGACTCTTAACTACAAAGAACAAACTAATGGTTACCAAAGCAGAGGTGGGGGTGGGGGATGAGGGAAATAGATGATGGAGATTAAGGCGTGCACCTGTGATGAGCACCAGCTGATGTATGGGATTGCTGAATCACTACAGTGTCTACCTGAAACTAATACAACATGGTATGTTGACCACATTGGAATTAAAATTTAAAAAAAAAAGTAAAGTTAAAAAATTCATACTTTATTTTTATTATTTCCCAATTTTTCATGTATCTTTTGTGCTTTTTATTCCTCTTAAATTTTTATATTTTGAATTAATTTTTATGTGTTTTAAGATCGTTAAAGAGATTTTTTTTCACTGGCTTTATCCATTAGCCCTATGTTTGGCAAACTTAGGGCCTGGCCTTCCAGTTCTTGGCTTAAGATAGCAAAGAAAATCTTGGACAGGTTAATTATGTGTACATGAAAATGAATACAAAAGGGTGACTTGGATGTTATTTATTTAAAATTAAGACCTTTTTAAAAATGCTTTTGCCTCCTTGACTATAAAGCCAGTAAGGAGACCAGATTTAGGAACTCTAGACCCTAACTCCAGACCTCAAAGAGGCTAATTTTCTCAATTTTAATAAACTGTGACTAGGTTTTTCAATCTCCCTAGGCCCTGCTCTGATCACATTCTGGAAAAGGATCTATCGATACACATAGAATTGGTTTTCAAGTACACTAATGAGAGCTACCAACAATGTGTTGGACACAGTGCTAATTATTTTAATTGCATTCTCTTATTTAAATCTCCTTCCAACAACTCAATTAGTGGGCACTATTACCTTGATTTACAGAAAGGAGCCTAATGCTTAGAAGATGAGGCAACTTGCTGAGTGCTCATGGCTGGCTCAGGGCCAAGAGCTGTGGCTCCCATCCAGGCTTCTCCAACTGCAGAGTCCATGCTCCTAACCTCAATACCATGATACCCCAAATTACAGCAAGTCCCCCAGGGTAACCTTCCTGGCCCTATAACTGTCCACAAAGTCCAGTAGGACTGGTGTGTTCCAAATCCCACCAGTCTGCTTCCTCCAATAAGAACACTGGTATGATCTAAACTACATGAAATCAGAGTAAACTCTGTGACATGTTTTAAAGGATAGTTTCCATTTCTACCTTAACAAATTTAAATCTGGATTTCTCAAGCCATTTTTCCACTGAGAAGCTAGTAGGCTTCAGAAACAGTAATTCTACAATTGATGATCTCAGCCTCCGTAGAGGTCTATGAAAAACAACTATAACGCAGTTCGCAAACTTTAATTACTGATTTTCCTTGGCCTCTAACTCTGTACAAGTCCCAGTCTGTGAACTGTGCTATCCATTCAGGAGACCCTCGAGTGACTGATTCTTTTAGAAAACCTGCCTTTTAAAGAAAACAAAGAAAGAAAACCAGCCCTTTGTTATCTTACAGAGTGAGGCTCAGCAGGACTTATGTCAAATCAGACAAAAGTTCTGAGAAATTCTAATAGCCATAATAATAACTAAGATATATTGAATGCTTATTATGTGCTAGCTGCTATTCTAACTGCTTTTGCGTACCTCATTGTCATAATAACTCTATGAAGAAGATACTACTAACATCCCCATTATGCAGATGAGAAAATGAAGGAATATATTTTGGTTCTCTCTTTTAACCTGCCTCTTGATAATTTGAAAACCACTTTTAGAAAATCTATATACTTGCTTGCTGCTAAAGAGAACAGAAACATAAGTATGTTCTTCCACGTCAGGACTCTAGGAATGGCCTCAACCACTTGGTTGAGGTCCTACCATCTTTCATCAGGAAAAATGGTCAAGATCAACTACTATAAAGCCCGTATCATCATTTTTAACACAAAATGTAATTAATCAAATTCAACTACACTGCAGGCCAATCCATTTAGTTACTTAGGGGCACAGTTTGCAACTAATTTTTCTTAGACTACATTAGCTTAAAATTCAACATCTTACCATGTACTACTGGACATTTTTCTCTGGTTGTGAAGAGAAATTGGTATCTATACTTAAAATTTTTCATTATTCCCATGCTTTCCAGAATGGAAATTTTGAGGCTTTGATTGTTATTTGTTCATGTGTTAGGCCTGAGTTAGAACAGTTTTCTATGGAAAATCCTGGCCCTGCACATAGGCACGGCCTTGGGTCCTTCTGCAGACACTGACACTTCCCTTTTCCAAGCAGTCCTGGGTCAGCTTCTTAATTTTTGTAAAAGAATGTTAATCCTATCTTCTCT